TACATTTAATGCATGTCCGAAAAAACTGATTATTTGAGTATTATTGTTGATGAAGAGTTTTAAACTTTGAGATTATTTAAAATTTATTGAATAAATGTGATGTGTCAATGATGTGTACTAAAAAAATCGTTTATTTAGAGAGCATGAATGGAGATGCTCTAATTGATTTGATTAGAAACCTTAGAGCATTAATTCACATTTTCAAGAATTAATTAGGTGCCATATATAGTCCCTAGACTGACGGAATACAATGTACTACATCCGTTCCATTGGAAGCTAATGTTCTCATAGCAAAACGACACGGTTATTTAAACAATAATTAAGTAAAGTACCTAGAATATATTTTGAGAAAATAATTTTAATAGGTATATATTATGATGTAGTTAGTATTGATAACTGTGATATTATAAATGTATTATTTTTAATATTTAATGATTAATTTGTGACTTAAGATTGTTAATTGTTTCCTAAAATGAAAAAAATAACCTTTATATGGGACGTCCAAAAAAGGAAAGTGAGAACCTTCTAAATTAAAAAGACGGAGAGAGTAACATTTTTCATTAATGAGATGATGACATTCGTCGGCGTATCTTAAGAGCATCTGTATTGTTATAATGTGCACGGTGCACATGTGACATGAGAGATAACCACATAAATATTAGCAAATGAATTATCTCTCTCCCTATATGAATGGTTTTATACAATTTTGGTAAATTTATCTCCACAATGTCAAGAAAACCGTCTAGATGACATTGTGATTGAAATTGCAAAGAAAAACTTACCAAAACTGTATAAATTCATTCAAATAAGGGAGATAATTTATTTGTTAATAATTATGTGTCTATCTCTAATGTCACATGTGCACCGTGCACATTAATTAAGCTAGTTAATTAAGTACCAAAGTGATACAAAATAATTAAATACGTGTTCTAATCCTTGACCATTTTGCCCCATTGAATTATGATCGGTCGTTTCAATTTAGAAATATTGCCCCAAATAGGACTAAATTGTTCCTGAAATTCTTAAATAGGATTATGCATATTTTTATTCCTGAAATAGGACTAAATTACCCTTCTACCCTTATTTTCTTCCCTATATTTTATCCTGCCTGCGCACACATCGATCTCATCCCCCAGCGCATCTCTCTTCTTCTCTTTCCCCCACAATGAACCTACAAGCTCAATCATAGACATCGCTGCCGCAGTCGCGAAGGCCATCACCGTTGCTGCCTCCGTCATGAAGGTTGCCGCCGTCGCGGAGGCCACCGCCACTGCTGTCGTCGGAGATAAACTTTTCTTCTCTGTAGATCTGCTTCTCTTCTCTGGTTTTTCTTCTTTGATTACAAAATGCCAAGTTAAATCTGAAAATGCCATCAAAATGGCATTTTTAGTCTTAAAAATTTTTGTATTTTTATTTGAAAATGCCTTTAAGATGGCATTCTGATAAAATTTTTGGCATTTACGCCGGAAACGGGTAGATCTGCAACTGTGGAGGTCAGCTTTATAACGGCGGATGCCGGAGTAGTTGCGAAGGTGGCTGGATCTGAAGGGACAGCGGCCGACGGCCGGCGGAGGCTAAATCTGGCCAGATCTCCGGCGGCGCCCGTTAGATTTGCAACGGCGGCTGGCATATCTACAACGACGGCCAATTTTTGAGGTTTTCGACGATGTCCAGCTACCGGCGGCGAATGACGGCCACCGGCGAATGGCTGTGGTCCAGTGTTGTGGTTTGCGGGAGTATGACTTCCAGGTTCCAAGCTTGGGGTTAATTTTGTCTAATTGCAAATAATAACTCTTATTTGGGGAATTTTTAAATTTTGGTCCTATTTTAGCAATTAAAAACTGATTTAGTCCTATTTAGGTAAATACCTCTTCAATTTATTTTTGGAAAAGAATATATGCTCACATGTTTGTTATCACATTATCCACGGTATCCCCTTCTATGGATGTTGCTCTTTTGAAGCAAAAAAAAAACCTTTAAAGAAAACCGACTTCAATTTGTTTTAAAATTTTCAATTTTCAATCTTCCAAAAAAAAAAAACAATTTTCAACAGTTTTCGAAAAGCTTCCTGTCTTTTAGTTGACTGGGGATCCTTACTAAAAGTCTTTGCTATTAAAATACTCCGTAGAAATCAAGTCTCTGCGCATCTCGCTCTATTAGAAGGTTACTCACAAACATAATGGGTATCTTTAGTTTGATTTCGACTATACACACCTAAATGTGGAAAGGGGCTAATGCCCCCAACACATCTATATAAAAAAATTGACTTATAAACCCAAATCATCATCGATTACACAGAAACAATTTAAATTATATATAGAGTAGTACATAAGATTAATTGGTTAAGATCTAAAATGTCATTCTAAAAGGTCAATCTGATAAAAGAACTAGCTCGGGTCTTGATATGACACTTTTATCACTTAACATTTTCCGGTGTAGGACTTTAACACTCTTCCTTACGACTAGACACTTCGCTTGAATCGTGTTATTATTCATGTTTTCGTCATTGTCCCTTTTTAATAATCATCGTCATTATTTTATAGGGGATCCACATCATAGTTATGGAACAACCTTATAAGAGGAGTAACTCAGATCTTAATATAACGCTTTTAATACTTCTCAATCTCGGAATGGGACTTCAATATAATTATTCATGATTTCATTTCATTGAAAATCATGAAGAAAAATAAAATGAAATATTTTTGGGCTGCCCAAAGTAAATCTTACAAGTTTAAGTAGAGTTGTTAAACAGATTAAGTTCTTTGTAACAAGACCGGGTAAATTGTGAATAAGGAGTCAATGAATTTGGTTTTGCAGGGTGGAAGGACAGCTTTTGCCGGACAGGTAAATAACTACAGAAACACCGTACAGCAAATCGTTCAACTCTTGGGGGATGAGACTTCAGCAGCCAACTATTTGAGCAAATGCATTTACATTGTTGGGATGGGCAGTAATGACTATCTTAACAACTATTTCCAGCCTCTTCTCTACTCTTCCAGCCGTCAATTTACTCCTCAGCAATATGCTGATGTTCTCATCCAACAATACGCTCAACAAATCACTGTAAGCGCCCAATCTTTCGTTTAGGAAATAATGACCAGTGTATTACTAAAATGAAGGTAGCGAACGAAAAAATGTGATTTTGTGCCTTTACGTAACCATAATAGTAGCTTCAGTGAAAGTTATTATGTTCAATATTACACTGTAATGACCATAACGATATACTTGTAGTATCTTTAGTCCCATTCTCGTTCACAAGTTTTATCTTAATAACATTTAGGGAAACACACATTTTATTTAATTCCATCATGAATAGGCCTATTGGGTTAATTGTTTCATATGCAAAAAAATGTGTAGACCTTGTACTCCTTGGGAGCAAGGAAGATTGCTCTGTTTGGGTTGGGCCAAATTGGTTGCACCCCAAATGCTCTGGCCCAGAACAGCCCCGACGGTAGAACCTGTGTACAAAGAATCAATGATGCAAATCAGTTGTTCAACAACAACCTCAGGAAACTCGTTGATACCTATAACAGAAACAACAGCGGTGCAAAGTTCATTTACATCAATGCTTATGGAATCTTCAACGATCTCATTACCAACCCCTCAAATTATGGTAAATTGTCCAATGTCTACCATCTTTATATTCTCCCTTTTCATTGTTTTCAAAACTATCGTTACATTTTACATTTTCTAATTTTTATAACTTATAGCGACACAACGCCCATGATTTAGAGTAGCTTATCCAAAAAAAAATAGAGTAGCTTGTTCAAAATCTGAATTTGTATGTTTAGGTTTTACGGTGACGAATGTCGGATGTTGCGGAGTCGGGAGGAACAGAGGTCTAATAACATGTCTTCCCCTACAAAGGCCGTGCCTCAACAGAGATCAACACGTGTTCTGGGACGCATTTCATCCTGGTGATGCCGCTAATACCATTTTTGGAAGGAGAGCTTATAGTGCTCAAACACCCTCAGACGCCTACCCTTATGATATCAGCCGTCTTGCTAGAATGTGAAAGAGTTTCATCATATATCATATTAATTAAAGAGGATTTAAATTGCTTGGGGCTAAAAAAGTTTAAATCAGTCATTCCGAGCAAAGTTGAATTTTGCATTGTGTTCAATGTATCAATATGATTAATTTACGAGTCAATGTTTGTCTTGAAATTCATGGATGCAATACACATACACTTACCTTTAATATATTCGGAATTAAATAATACATTCTTCCTTGTTTGGAACCGGTTGCTTCTTTAATTTGAGTCTTAGTACAACATAATTTCGTGATCATTTCCATTTTGTATGTTTGTTGTTGGGGAGCTTTAACAGAGGTATGGTGTTGGGATCCTTCCTTAATGGGCGAGGTTCAAGAAAATTCTAGAGCTTTCTAGAGAACTATAGAATTTTCCTAGAATGTTCTGGAAAATTCTAGAGAAGTCTATCTCTCTAAAAGCTTGTGGAATAGTGTGGAATCCTCTAGAATATTCTGGAGATGTGTGGAACACTACTGAAAAAATGCCTTACACTCATACCAATTTATGACACTAAAAAGTGTCGATGAAAGTGGGGGCTAGTGACACTAAAAAAGTGTCACTAGAAGTGTCACAAAGTTATGATACTATAGTATCACCAAATTATGACATTAGATATCACAAAACTCAATGACACTACGGTATCACAAAACTCAATGATACTATGGTATCACAAAACGCAATAACACTACAGTATCACAATACTCACTGACCCACTAGTGTTATGAATACATACACATGATACATTGATAACAATACACACACACACACACACACATATATATATATATTCATACAAATAATATCATATAGGAGTATTGAAATACATGGGTGGGTTTGATTTATATGCATGAAAGATCTGGCAAACTCTAATGCAGGCATTAAAGCTCAACCTAGTCATCGACATTAAAGCTCTAACGTCATATAACGCATTCTCAATTATTAAGATGTAATTGCCAACATACCTGCACCCATATGGAAGATGGTCATGTTGAATGACCTGAACTACTGAGGGACGGACCATCGAAATCCTCGACCAAGCCCAAATCTGTAACAAGTGCATACAACCGCCAACTTGTTTGGTTTCCCACTTGACGCCGTTGCACAAGTTATGGTAGAGGTACCCGAGAACCGCTGATCCCCAACTCCATCGACGGGCTAAAGCCAAGTCACCCTGCAAGACCTCCAAAAAGTATAATCGTATTCTTGTCACACTCGTGTCAGGGAACAAAAGGCCTCCAAGCAATTGCCATATTAGGGTTCTGGTGTGTTCGGTGACCTCTTCGTCTGTACTGTCAGGTAGGATCTGGTGACGGGTAAGAGCACTCATGGTGATATCACTCGTGCGCATATCAGTCTCTAGAGGAGTGAAACCACACGACTGCGTGCACAGGTCGATCCACTGAGCCTTACCCTTAACTGTTGGACCACTGAGGGGCATACCCCGAATGGGCAAACCAAGGATCATCACCACATCTTGTAGACTAATGCCGACCTCACCGAATGGAAGATGGAAAGTATGTGTCTCCGGCCTCCATCTCTCCACCAAAGCGCATATTAAACTATGATCCACCTTCATACGGGCAATGTGCTCTACCCCCAAGAAGCCAGCATATGCTAACATACCTATCACTCTTGGATCTCCCTCTTCAACTCCGAATGCAGCTGAAGGGCAACTGACGCATTTCAAGCACGAGTCTTTGGAATTCGGTTCATACCATATACGGTCCGCACGATGGGCACGCAGTGGTAACGTGAGTAGTGAACGGTTAACAGGCCCTGGGCGCGGAATGTTTTGCTCCATTTGAAATTCCTAAAATAAGTAGTTATAAATTACTAAATTCGAAATTTAACACAAATTCTAAATGTAACACAATTTTTAAATTTGTAGATATTTATAGCTAAATTGAACTCTAAAATTCTAATTTCACAACCTAACACAAAAAAATAAAAAATTACTAAAGTAACAACTTGTAACGTCATAAAATCGAATTTTAACTCAAATTCTAAATGTAACACAATTTCTAAATTTCTAGATTTTTATAGCTAAGTACAACTCTAAACTTCCGATTTCACAATGTAGAGTAAAATTCTAAATTCACAACCTAAATTAAAATCTTAAAAGTTACCAAAATAACTAGTAATTTTGAAATTCGAAATAACTATAATTGCGAAATTAAAATCTTAAATTCGACTATTTAAATTAAAGAGTAAAATTCGAATTTCACAATGTAAATTAAAAAATTTACAAATTACTAAATTAACTACTTCTACACTCCTAAAACCGAAATTTAAGGGAAATTCTAAATGTTACACACTTTCTAACTTTCAAGTATTTATAGCTAAATGTTACTCTAAAAGTCCAATTTCACAATCTAAATTAAAAATTTTATAAATTACTAAATTAACTACTTCTACACTTTTAAAACCGAAAATTAACTAACCTGGAAATTTGGCTGATCACAAAGGTTTGATTTGCTAGTAGGTGCTCTTGCTTGGGATTCATTAGTGAACCAGATGATTATCTAGAGTACTCCATACCTCTCATAGCTAAGTACAACTCTAAACTTCCGATTTCATAATGTAGAGTAAAATTCTAAATTCACAATCTAAATTAAAATCTTAAAAGTTACCAAAATAACTAGTAATTTTGAAATTCGAAATAACTATAATTGCGAAATTAAAATCTTAAATTTGACTATTTAAATTTAACGCAATTTCTAAACATCTACAATTTCAACTATTATAAATAATAAAAAGTTAAAATTAAAGAGTAAAATTCGAATTTCACAATGTAAATTAAAAAATTTACAAATTACTAAATTAACTACTTCTACACTCCTAAAACCGAAATTTAAGGGAAATTCTAAATGTTACACACTTTCTAACTTTCAAGTATTTTATAGCTAAATGTTACTCTTAAAGTCCAATTTCACAATCTAAATTAAAAAATTTATAAATTACTAAATTAACTACTTCTACACTTCTAAAACCGAAAATTAACTAACCTGGAAATTTGGCAGATCACAAATTTTGATTTGCTAGTAGGTGCTCTTGCTTGGGATTAAGTGGGGATTCTTGATCCAACTGGCTCGGCTCTATTTATATAAAAAAAATTAGTTGGGAGTTCTTGATCCATTAAATAAAAGTTGGTGTTGTAATTAGTGGTCCACACTTCTTCCACACTTCTTAAATAAAGTTCTTGGTCCACACTTCTGCTTTTTCCTTGAACCGTGTCATAGTAGCCGATAAAGTTAGTATCCATAAAACAATTTTTTTAAAAATTTTATTGTTGTCGGATCTTCAAAATCTGACTGGAGGTATCCGTTTACCGCCCTCCGATTCCGATCCAAGCCCCTCCTCTTTTGATAACAGCCGTGCGATAGGGATCCGAGCCCTTATTGTGTTTCTTTGGTGGTTTAGAGTTTATTTTTTGTACAAATGTGGAATAAATATGGAATTATCTAATTTTGATCTGATTGAACTTATCTGATTATATTTATCTGATTAAATTTTATCTAATTGAACTTATCTGATTATATTTATCTCATTAAATTTTATCTGATTGAACTCATCTGATTATATTTATATGATTACATTTTATGTAATTAAATTTATCTGATTAAATTTTATTTGACTGAACTTATCTGATTATAGTTATCTGATTAAACTTTATCTAATTATAGTTGTTGTGGAAACTTAAAAAATTCAATAACTCCAACAAAGAGAACAAATATTTCATTAGTTCAAAAAACCCAACAAGGTATACATTACAATATTACTCATGTCCTCTCCTTGTAGCACGCAAATCCATTTCATTAGGAAATCGAGTTCTCTGTGGCCTACCGGCTCTAGCCGATCTATTGTTTGGGGGCGGGAGAAGTGTATGCGATGTTTCTGCCATGAAATTGAGGTAATTATTAATAGGCATAATATCGGAAGCGTACGTTCGGATGTAAGCATTTAAGGAATACACAGCTGGGATGAGGCTGTCTACGGTTATTTTTAAAAACCGACAAACCACATATGCGTGAACACATGGCATCCCGTTCTGCTTCCAATACTCACACCCACATTCCTGCCTTGTCAGATCGATTGTCACTGGATCATGCGAACCAATAGCTACAGAGTAAATTCCCATTGTTCGATTGTGCGGGACAATAGTTGTGTGATACCTACGCTGTGACCGCTCAAGAACATCCTTCCATATGTTATGTGGATACAAGAATCCAGCTTGGTGCCACATTATTCCCGCATTTCGTCGATCGGCAAATAGTTGGACGACTTTATCGAATGTGGCCTTTACTAGTGCTGTGATAGGCAATGTGCGGCATCCCTTTAAGACATTGTTAAAACTTTCAGAAAGGTTTGTCGTCAAAATGCCATATCTTTTGCCATCCTCATAGCTCAGGGCCCACATCTCAACAGGAATCTCATTCAAATATAGAAAAGCACTCTCATTTATGTCTCGTATTTGTTGCATACAGTCGTGAAATTCCTGTTCTGTGGGAGTGCTACCAGCTTGCCAACATAATTTTTTCAGTTCCGCGTTCCTAAACTTGGTCATGAAATTACTCCGTATGTGACGGAGGCAATAACGCTTTGAAACTTGTGGCGATCTCAACTCTCGCAAGGCTCTAAATGCACTTTCAATTCCTGCATGACGATCAGAGATAATGCACACACTACGGTGATTTCCAACCACATCACGCATAACCCTTGCAAAGAACCACGACCAGCTGTCAGCATTCTCACTCTCAACAACAGCATATGCAAGAGGAAATATCTCACGGTTAGCATTCATGGCTACCGCAACTAGAAGAACTCCCTTGTATTTGCCATATAAGTGAGTGCCATCAACCTGTTGTGAATGCCGGCCTGTTGTGATTGCAAATGAACAACAGTCCTCGGATTTGAAAACTGTATAGATTCCAACAACATAGGAAGTTCATTATATGATGCCTCCCGATTGCCGAATTTACGCTCCAGAGCGATCAAGCGTCCATTCCAAGCTTTTTTATATGAAACACGGATATTAAATTTTTCATATATGTCTGACATTATCAGTTTAATGCTGTAGTCCGGGTCGACTTTCACTTTTGGAGCGATTTCACTGGCTATAATTTTGGCCGTTAGGAGCCTGTCATCCCGAGCCATGACAGGATCCTCCCTACAACTGTGATGGGGTTGATATTTTTTTACTTTCCACTTTTTTGACGTCATACCTTCTCCTGCTTGGATATGCCAAGTGCAAAGGGTCGGGTCTATGCAAACCACCTTCCAGGACCGTGGCCTTTTGTCAACCGTTCTGAATTGACGAAATTGACGAATGTTTTCTCTCGCCACCGCTTCTTTCAGTGCATCATATGAACAGTAAACTGCGCCTACTTCGATCCTTTCAGGCTCAGAATCTAATGCTTGAACATATGGTTCTTCTAGCTCCACATTAGCCCAGGTGGTGTCTACTACGTCGTCATTATCATCGCTCGTGGATGAATCGACATCACTACTAAAACCTTGTTCATAGTCTGGGTCGTCCGACTCTTCACCCAAGTTTGTGACTGTACAAAGTAGATACATTCATAAATTTCAATATTATTATTTGGGACAAATTATTAATTTAACACAATTCTTGAATTTCTAGAATTGAACACAATTCCTTGTAACACACTATCTAAAATAAAATAAAATCATGGTTTGAATTTTTTGGTTTTAATTTATCGGAATATATAAAATTTTTAAGTTTATTTGAAGTATAAAATCTTTTTGTGCTCTGGTCGGATTTGGGTGTTCCGACAGGAGTTTTGAAATTTTATGCGCTATATACAAATTTTAAGTTTATTTGAATAATAAAAACTTTTTGTGCTCTCGTCGGATTTGAGTGTTCCGACAGGAGATAAAATTTTAAATTTTTTTAAAATTCCACTTCCACTTCCGGTTATTTCATTTATTTGAACTAGAATGTGTTTCTTGTGTAATTAGATAGAAGTATTGAATTTGTGCAGATGAGACAGACAGATAGCCAATTTTTACTCTGAAATTCCTATTTAACAATCAAAATTAAAAAATTTACAAATTACTAAATTAACTACTTCTACACTCTTAAAATGACAACAAATAAAACCAAATCATTGTAAATTCTATTTAACTTGAACAACACATACCAGGAGATTCGTAGTTCTGAAACGTTTGGCGGTTGTTCCTCCGACCATATACGGATGATGGGCCTTCCTCTCTGGGAGTTCCGTGGAACGTCAAAGTTTGTGGCGGGGTCGCTGAAGCTTCCACGTAAATGTGCAACTCCTCATACTCATTTTTAGCGATCCGGAAAAAATGACGCCATGTCTGCTCATCGTGAATGGGCCATAGTCTAGAAGCAACATATACAGAATTCTTATATTTTGGCAATTTTCCGTAAATTAATTTAATTTCGGAAAATCCGTCGCCTCTAACATGATTTAGAACATTCTCATGTATAGTAGTATAATCATCTGCTTCACTAATGAATAGTACCGCCCTAGGAAGTATGGAGTACTCTATTTCATCATCTTTTTGAGATGTAGAGCCATTCCAATGAACCATAACAACAATATTTCCCTCACTAGACATTTTTATATGAGAGAAGAATGCCTAAACAGAAAATGTAATAAATATATCAGGAGAGAAAGAAGGATTATTTTTTGGAGTGAAAATTTTGAAAAGAAATGAACTCATTTTATAGGAGCTATTGGGGTACGTACGGTGACCATATAAATGCAGTTGGTAGAATAAAGGAATACAAATAAAACACGTAGTGCAAACAATAAAATGAAAATAAAACGAGTTGGTTGGTAAAATGTTCGAACCACAATTAAACACGTCATTTTTTAAAAAATATATCAAAATACCCTAGCCGGATTTCCCAATTCCGACTAGGTTTTTAATAAATTTTATCCGCTTTAACCCATTGTTTAAAAAAAAAAATCAAAAATACCCTAGTCGGATTCCCCAATTCCGACTAGGTTTTTTTAATTAAATTGGCACTTACCTCTAGTCGGATTGCCCAATTCCGACTAGGGTTTCAACCCTAATTCCGGACTTCTCCTCCAGTCGGAATTGCCAATTCCGACTACCGTAATTTGATAACCTAAACGGAACTCCCGTATTTTGGCTTGTCAGACGGGAGATTCCCGTAATTTGGTAATTTTCTCTTAAAAATCTTCCTCACAAATGAGTCTTAATGAATGAGTTTGCTTGAAGATGTGTCGGGGATATAGCATCCTAACAATCTATCATCCTTCCTTATCAACAACAATTTTTTTTAGGAACGAGATGTCAACCTGATACCTTATCGAAAATATATTAACGAGATGTCATACAATGGATGCATTATATTTTCATGACCAGCATACCAAAAACAACATTGAATCCCAAACCATCGGCAAACAAAAAAAAACTATTCTGTTGGTGATTTTAGTATCACCAGGTTCATTTTAGTGTAATGGAATTTACAGATTACCAATGGAGTTCAAGTTTAATTTTAGACAAGTTAGGAGGTGCGGAGCGCACACTTGTACGAAATTAAATTTAAACTTGGTTCGATTAAATGGCGGGGGTCAAGGGGGCTGCGCCCCCTTGCGGGGTCCAAGGGGCAGCGCCCCTGGCGGGGTCCAAGGACCAAAATTTTATTTTATTAAAGAAATAAATATGGAAATTTATTTTCGGATAAACATGTCCATATTAATTATTTAATAGAATGACTTTCTGTTAGAGTAAAACTCTAACCGATTGGCCTTATCTCTTTGGTAATCAGAAGAATTCGAGTTCTACTAAAACTGCTAGTTCGTGGTCTATATATTGGTGCCTCAGTTTTAGACTGTCTCTCAGAGTGATTATCCCGGGTGTTTTACCGAAATACGGGAAAAAGGGGTTGAGGTTGCCAAAATACGGGAATTTTTCTAAGTTTTACCAAACAACGGGAGTCGGAACTGGGTGTTCCGACTAGAGGTAGGGTTTCCAAAAACAACTCTTTCCTCCTGTCGGATTAGGGACTTCCGACTAGGAGTTTTTTTTTTTTTTTTTTTTTTTTTTTGCAAATTGTTAAGTTTTTTATTTTGAG